CCTAGCTATTGTTGCCCACCAGTTTTCGCGGTCCCTATTGAGGCTGTTTTTCAGCTGACATCGCAGACGCCACCTACCCGTGTTTGGATCATGGCTGGTCAGGATTTGTTGGTTTTTCTTTCCCTAAGGCCACTGAATCATCAGATATCCGATGCCTCAGACGAGCTTGAAGCTCAGATTCACAAGCAACCCTCGGTGCGAAGTACATTGCTCATATAGTTTGATCCCATTGTTGATTAACATTGCCACAGTGCAGCGCCATTACCTCACACCATAGTTTTGATTCATAGCGGGCCTGAACGAATGGATCAAATAACCGATTGCCTGCTGATCGAGTTTACCTTTTTTTCTCGCCACCAGTTAATCAGAGAGTGAATTGCATCAAAACTAATGAATGACCAGATTGAACGGCAGTTTTGTCCTGACCCACATCAATGATTGCTTATTGCTGTGGGGTTGATTTGTTATCGTACCAGTTGAACTGGAGCGCCACGTTGCAGTCCGTTGAGAGCCGTGTCGGAATTTGACACTGGGTAGGAACAGAACAAAGAGGAATTCAGATTCCTCAACTTTATGGCCTACCGAAACTCCAAAAGCCACTCAGTCCAATTCGATCCATAACGGACTAACCACAACACAAAATGGCGAAATGGCTGGTCAAGGTGTTAGAACCAACCCACAGACCACTGGTCAAATATACAGTTAGAGTTTTGAATTAGTGGACATTTTCAACAAGATCAACATAGAAGGAAAACATGGCTTCCTTCGATTTCCAACCCTGTTTACTAATGTACCAGTTCGTGAGGTCATAAAAATCACCTGCGATCATGTAGAGAAGGAACAGATTCGGCTGAGTCTACCGGTGTCCGTTCTTGAGCGTCTACTGCTCTGCGCAACCGATGTGTCTTTCTCTTTCAAGGAAATGCGTACAAGCAAATCGATGGTGTCTCTATGGGCTGCCTGCCCAGTCCTGGCAGACTTGTTTATGGCACACCTAGAACTAATATTCCGTACCGTACTATCCTGTACAAAAGAAGACACCCCGGTTATAACAGAAAGCCTACAAGAAGCTACAGTGATAATAGATGAACTATGGATGGACTACATCCAAATATACAGTTCACTATGTAATCTGAATCCAACCATACAATCCCTTTCCTTGACATTAACATGAAGAGAAGACGGAACAATTGCTCAATCCGTTTATCGAAACGAAACCCAGACAGGTCAATATCTCTACACTTTGAAGCTTTATGCCCCTGGAGTATAAACGTGATCTTGTTCGGACCATATCTGACAGAGCAAGACCAAGCTGCACGAAAGACAGAATTGAAAAAGAACTGCAAAACATTCGGGAGTTGCTAGCAAAAAACGCTTAACCCGAAGCGTTCGTTAATGAGCATAGTTGCGAAAGAAACGGTTGAGTCGGTTCCAAAATTACTGGCACATTGTATCTTCAGTTCAAAGGTGATGATGTAAGTCGTCTACTCAACAACACAAGCAAGATCACCAATCGTTCGAATCTACTATGCAGCGGATCCCCAAATCGTCTACACGACAACTAGGACACCCACATCCCGAACAAAGAAACGTCTGCCTCTGTACGCCAACTTCACTCTGAATTACCAATTCCAGTGTGGGTGCGTAACGACCTGCGTGGGCAGAGCAGAGTGACAATGGCGCAATCGGGTGGTGAAACATATTCCTAATTGGGTCCGAAATCAGACGATGCAACCGAGTTCAAGTCCGCTGAATAGAAACGACAGTTGAAACTACAATACCCTGTCCTCAGCTATTGCTCGACACCTGCTGATGATGCAACACCAGATCGACCGAAGCACAGTGTTTTTTGTCTACAATTCGCGAGTCACAACATTGGTAAGTTTTGATGAAACGGTTGCTATTAATCGGTGGAGGACTTCCTGTGTCAACAAAAAGAACTATGTTGGTCTGTTAGTCTGTCCTTACCCTGGTGACATGGTCCTTTTACCCCTCCCCTCTTTTTAGGTTTTGTCTGTTTTAATGCATGTTGCTTTACTTTGTTGCCTTGCTAAAGTCCCGTATAAACATTGCATTTTCTTCCATGTTGAGGTGCAGCAAAATCGTCCTGGACATAAATCGTGCAGTATTGCAATATGGTCTTTTCTTTTGAAATTAATTTCGGGATAGGTTTGATTCACTGTTCAACTTTGCCGTTGACTAGGTAATTAGTCGTTCGATGAAAGAAGTTTCAGATCTCTTCGAATTTATGGCTCACCCAATAGAATTCGCTGATGATATTATCGTCTTTGATGAAGACATGTCAAACCTCCAAGTAATCGTTGGCCGCATCAGTCGATAAGCCTCCGAGATCAGTCTGGAGGTGAACACATCAAAAACCAAAACGTTTGCCACTGTCCCAACTCATTCCAAAGATGCTTTTCTACCAAACGGCTAGTCGATCGAAACCATCGAAAGCTTTTAATATCTGGGATAAACTATCCCCCCCAACGGCCAATCTAAAGAGGATGCTGCTAGAAAGACGTTTCTACAACTGAAAAATTCCCTTTGGCATAGAAATGAAATCAGCCTAAAGGCAAAGAGATTTCTCCGCAGCAGTTCGTCTTTTCTTACTGTACGGCTGCGAACCATGGCCACGTAGAGTCGAAAACTTTTGTCGATTAGAAGCCTACGGTCACTGGTACCTAAGAACCATTCTGGGAGTACGATAGATGAATCAGCTCTCAAATGAAGCTGTCAGAAACCAGGGTTTTAATCTCATACTACTGCTAATACAACGATGGAAACTAAAATGGTTTGGTCGCATACTTCTTAAGTCTGATAACGAACTGACCAGAGCTACATTGGCACCGACTGTCTGCCTGAACTTATGCTGTCGATACAATGGGCACCCGAAAACCTGGCTTGAAACGGTACGAAAGAATACAGAAAGCTTGATCTCCGCTCCATCTACGGCATTCGCCAATGAAAGTCAAACTGAATCACAATCTGCGCTGATCTTGCCGTAGACCGCTGAGCGTGGGAAACGACAATTCGAATTATCCTCTCCAAGAAGCCAACCGCCGTAAAGTAAGTAAAGCGAGCGGAGGCCCATATACTTGACTGAATTACTCCAACACTTGCTGACACACCAACTCAGGTCAAACCCGAAACCTGACGAACCAGGATACTGAGGTTTCTCTAACCTCTACTGCTACTCTTCACAGACCACTGAATGTCAAATGCTGCTGCTTAGGTAGAGAAAATTTCATGCCTCATCTGTGACCTCCCCAGTTAGAGCGCGATTGGGAGCCAAACCAACCCAATCCCATCCAAATGCATGCCAATCAGGGCCACACTAGCACTGATTTCAGAAAGGCTTAATGTAGCACTCCAGATCAGACAACCTGCGTCCATCCTCGCACGACTACAAGAATCAAATCCGTTGCCAAATTGATTAGAATAGAAGGGAGTGACCCTGACGGACACTGCTGTTTGTGGGAAAAATGGATGAAACTGTCGTAAGCTCGAACTTAGCTTTGGCTATTTAGTGTTGTGAAGTCCTACCGACAGTATGTGAATGGCATGCGTGGTTTGCAGGCGGCGCCCAGTCATTGAGTCTTACGATATTCAACAATGAACAAGACTTCCCAAAACAGATTAATGGATTAAATATTGTAGCCATAAATAATGCGATTATATCGGTAAACTGTATCCTTCATGAAACCATAGCCTGGCCATGTTAGATTGCATGTTTCGTTCTATGCAACTCAATTTTTCCTGTTTCCATATTATTCCAAATGTTTCCCCAGCTCGACACCAGCCGTGTGTGTATAAGCTTAGTACAAAAGCAGCGTAACATAGCAATTAGCTTTTCTTTTACACTGGAAGGAGAGCAGCCAGAGCGAGTCGAAGACCACGTTGAGACCGAAGAAAACAAGTGAAAAGTCCACGAAACTACTGTCTGTCTTCAGAAATCTGGCAGAGTGAAAATGTAGTCGATAGAATCTCTACCAGTTAGAAAAACAGTCTGGTTTTCACGCGTGCACCGTTCACTTACGTCAGTCGAAGAAGTAGTATACCAGCAAGAAGTTGTTGACAAAGTTGATCAAACTAATTCTTCTGTAGTTTGCCTCGGAGCTCCGTGGTGGTAGTGGTCCATTGGTGGAGGTCATCAAACTAGTGACCTGGAATTCCCGGTTCCACCGCTGCCCATCTTCCCTGTTTCTATATTTTCCCAGCCTTTGTATGACCGCGGCCCTCTTCCTGAAAGTTGACTGTATATTTGTATACTCAATAAATGAAAAAGGAAGTAAAACGCTATTTTTTAGTATAGTCCGGGATGGATGTCTCGAGTTGCGGATGGTTACCCCTCTATTGCACCTCGTGAAATGCTGCCATACGACTAAGAGTCCCACATAACTTCTGCTGAAGAAGCTCTACTTAATGGCTTATCGTGGCGGAGGTGTTTTCCCACTAAAATGAGAGGACGAAAATCCATCCGGGGCTATAACCGGGTTGGTGAACCACTGTCAGTTATTCTAGGGAAGTTGGTTGAAAACCCTGGTGGTAGATAGCTTTGTTGTCTTCCGGTTCAGTACTACGCCCAACCCAAGTCAAAATATCATTTTTATCTTTGCTGTTTTTCTACTTTCGAATTATTATTATTGGTGGAGATCTTTAATTTCTAATCAGGCCAGATTGTGCAGAGTCAGATGTAGTTAATCGTCTCAGGGATTTGAGTGGCAGACAAATGCGCTCTCGCCCGTTTAAGTATCATGCATTCCAGTAAAGTATTAATATTTATTCTCGAGACAAAATATAGAAGCTCCAGTGCTTTTGAAATAATAGACAAAAGCTTTTGTCATACCTCAGTTATATGATTAATACAGTACTATAAATTTCCGGTTTCTTATTAGCTAGCATTACATCATTACAAATTCGAACGGTATATCACAATGGGTTGACAAATCCGTGAGATGAAATTCTATTCGTCTTTCTTGTTTTTAGGCTTTCTCTGTATGCAATTCCGGTCAGTCATACACCGTATTTCCGTCAGATGTCACTCGCGATCTCAGTTACACCTGGTTTACTTTGGCAGCGATCGGTACTCATTAGCTCATTTAGAAGCACTAACAGACCAAGCGAGCATTTTCCAGAAGTACCGTATTCAACACGTAGTCACCGCTAATGATGACACGCCTGTGGCATTATATTGTGCTCAAACAGGTTTAGGTAAGTGCTCTTTCGGTCGAAGCGTGCAGCTAACATCTACTGTAATTCTTTCCTCTCCGTACATCTCATCTTTTTGTGCCGTGTCAATTTGGTCTTAATTTTCTCTGGTTGTTGTCATTACAGCTTGCCAGAAAACGTGATCAGAAAAAAAAACAATATACGCTTGACGAGTACACCTGCCGTAAATAATACAAATGTGAAATTAGGTGGGGGAAAAGAGGACTAGATTGAATCTCTAATATTTGAATTAATCGCCACACTTGACCACGAACCCGGGTGTGTTCAACCGTAGACGGTAAAAGTTTTGTCATCCTCGGGTGGTTCAACAAAATCCTTGTGGGCAACGATACGGTTTATCTAGCCCCAAACGCTGATAGGATTTCTCGAAATTAAGTCATTCATGGAGAAAACATTCTTTTTCAATAAATCGATGAACTTATTCTTGGATTATTGTTTTTAGAGCTAGAAATGATGCAGTCGTTTGAGATACCGATAAAGTTCCGCTATTCTTCTAAAATGATTCCGGGGTTATTTACAAAGATCTACTTAAGCTGGCCACCTGGATGCGGTTCTGAAATGAACCATAATTCGCGTTTTTAAGAAAAGTGTATCGAAATGGTCAACGCCCTTAGCCACAATACACAAAAAAGCGGGTCTATATCTGTCGCAAACTTAAAAGAGAAAATAGCGGATCAGGGCAAATGTGAATGCTAGCTTGCACTGAGTATAGCCAATTGCCAATCGAGCGCGGAATCGATGCGGTGCTGAAGGACAAAATTAGTCACTGATATAATTATGAGTTAGGATGGTGTGCAGTTTGAAATAGAAAAATGGATAGCGATATAAAACCCACATGGGACGTGACTGCAACACACCTGGCATATAACGGAGGAAAAAGGACTTTCAATGAAAAAAAAATGTAGATAAGTTAAACAGTACTGAATTGAAACAAAACATAGATATTGGTAAGGCATGGTCCGTTGGTGAAACGAACCACTCTGCCTCCGGTATTTAGAAAGTTCACACTTTGAATACTTTGGAAACTCGAATCTATCCACTCCGAGCACATNCAATGTCAGGAACTAGCCGACTTTTGTGGGGTACAATCACTCCCCGATTGGTGCTTTTCTTCTGGTCCCTGCACTTCATCATCGATTGTTACTTGAAGTGAAATGAAGCGTCGCTCGAGGGCAACAGGCTAACCACGTTGTTTGGTATCCATAATCTCCTATTGTTTAATCGTTTGTGATGAGTTCTGACAGGATGAACGAGCGACAGAAATTAACTATGACGTACAATAAAAAAACGCATGGATATTGACGCAACAATGAATCTCGAAAATTCCACAGGAAAAAACGGCACGACAGCTATCTNTATCTACCCGGATCAAAGAGCATCACCCACACTGTTAAAACTAGGACAGACCGGGTCAATAAACAGCTCCATCCTAGCCCATTTAGTAGACACCGGACATCAAGTAAATCCGGATGTCGCCTTCATAGTTGTTTATCGTGCCCCCACACTAAGTGCAAGGGTGTTCAACTGCGCACCCTAGCAATAGCCAAAGCGTTCGGGATAAGAAAGTTGACCCCTGACCTCTGCGCCCAAAAGCGTTTGGTTCGGGCATTCCAACTTCCATGGCCCGTGGTTGATCGATCCCGAGTGTGTCCGCCATCAAGTCACTCTGATGCCGTAACTTAGTTAAACCAATCAAATGACAAATGCCAGTTGACTATGACAAACTCTTACCCCCGATTGGTGTCTAACTGTGATCTGTTTTCTAATGTTACCTATGTAATCTATAAACAGCTTGAGAAGGAATTACTGAAAAACAACTGTTTGTTTTAAAAATATAGCAGTTGTGATAAATCGTTTCTCCTTTGTATGTTTGCAAAATAATGTTCGTTATTAGCATGATACGGCCTAATTCAAAGGTTCGACTGCAGTGAATTATGCATGAGCGACTACAACCTCTCAATGACAATTTAATTTTACTGTTCCATTGGAGGTTACTCGGAAGTCGCATACCGTATATGCAGTTACTAAAATCACGGGCTCGCCACAATGAGCAAAAATTAGAACACGTTTAGGGAAATTTCATAACATTTTCAAACCGATGGCGAACAGTGGCAACTGAATTATCGGATTTTTATTTTCAAATTAATTTTAGCAGTTTCTTTTTCAATTTTTGAAGTGCCAGAGCAGAATTCTGGATCTCTTTCATACTACCCAATTTTTTATTATGTTCTGGTTTCCTCACTCATCCAGATTATAGCACATGGCCACGTGGCTCTACCGATTGTGCTCCTGTACTGGAATCTCGTATCAAGGAGTGGCAGTGCCATTTGGATCGGGCCAGCGCTTCCGTTCAAAGACCGCCAGGTCTTTTGGGTTTGGTAATCTCATTTGGTCGGTTCCTGCCCACCTCATTGATTGGTACATTCAAAAGTGGCTGTATAAATATCCATCCCTCATTATTGCCCCGGTGGCGCGGTCCGTGTCCTCTGTTGCACACACTACTCGCCGGTGACGAGGTCAGCGGTGTCAGTGTCATTCAGTTGCCCACTGACGAACACTCGTTTGACAGTGGTCCCATATTAGCGCAACATGCAGTGAAACTAGATACAAGTCGACCAATGTCTCCAAGTCAACTCGGTAACTTCCTGGTTCCATACAGCATCAGACTGATGTTTCAGGTATGCTAGACAGGCGGTTGGCACCGTTCAAAAATCTTGATTTTCGTATTTTTCGGCACAACTCAGCACTACACCTCTTCTAACTTTGAAAACATCTGAGGGTTTGGTGGCGGGTAATTATGAATCACTTTTTGCATCCGTAAATACGTTTTTCATAGCTAGTGTGTAGACAATATCTACCACTTGATCAAATGAGTACATTGACTTTACGAAATCCCCCTTTGTCCTCAGCGCTGTCTGGCTTATATAGATAGCAATTAGTGTTAGTACCTTACTTTTGATCTTCGTTGATCCTTCCGGACTGTGCATTTCGAACCAGAAGGGGGAGATAAATATCCTTGGTTAGAAATTCAAAGTGGTATGATCCACAAGCGAAACCAGGGGCGTAAGTTTTCTAAATTATTTCTGTTAAGGTCATACTAAGTACAATAAAAAATATCAAAAGTGCATATTCTGTGCTATAACGATATTAATCCCCGGCATCATATACCATTAACATCTTCCGTTGCGTTTCAATATATAACCCGGTCTTTTTGATTATTTTATTCGCTCAAATAACAAATAGTATTGCGTTTAATGTTAATTGCTTCTATCTCTTTCCGACCCTTTCAGATTCTTGGTGATTCATCGATGGTTAACTTAAGTGGTGCCCTATCTCAGGCAGTATTAGCCAAAACCCGTCGAATTAGTCCTACCAATGCTCCACGTCCAACCAACCCGATGGGTCACATTGACTGGGAGAATCAAACAGCAACGGACATTGTTCGTCTGTGGCACTCTTTGCGAGAGTCTGCTGTGTTTTTAACCAGTTTCCTTAGTGTTTCCAAGTCGTGCAATTCCAAGTATGATGCCACCGTGCGTTTCCTGGGAAAAGAACCATTGACAGTACCTTTGGATTGTGCGTCAGAGACCACAAATACTGACGAGGTAAATTACAAAATTTTTCCGTACTCGAGCTTTGGAATAAAGAGAACCTTTGGGAACCTTTCAGGCCAGTTAAGAAAATTGAAACCCGGTACAACTGAATCAGAAAACCGGACTTTTAGGTTGGGCTCACCAGTTCCGTGTTACCCAAAACCTGTAACATAACCTACCGACACAAGGTCAGATAAATGCGATAAAAGAACTGAAACGCAAAGCAGGTCAATTTATATGGTATTATGTTATATTAAAAAGATAAACGAAATACTTGTGGATGAAAGTCATTTTCAACCAGATCGACAGGCAAAATATAAAACTGAAGGTTTAGAAATGACCGTCCATGTTTCGTTGAAGTGATTCGAGAAGAAAGGTATGAATGGCACATCTACCTTCATTAAACTGAGATTTCAGGGTTCACACACTGCAAAGGTGCACGGATTACCGGATTTGCGCAATCCGGAATCCCATTATGGTCAACTCTCTTGGTTGACTCTCCCTAGCACTTACTGATGCAATGGTCGACGAAACTAATTGCTCCTTTAATTGCCAAACTGTCCAAGTTCGTGCTGAAGGGCACATTTCAATTAAAATAAGTGATACCGGGCGTAGATTACCGCAGTTGTTTTCTGTCATTGTTCACAAATGTTCCGGTCGAGGATGCCGTGAACGAAGTATGTAAATATGCCAGTGAAATAGGTTTCCTCGCGAGTGATTTGAGAACCCTGAAGAATTTGTGTGTTTACGACGTACAGTTCATCGTCAACGGAACTATATATAAACGCGTTGATGTTGTAACTATGGATAGGCCTTTGGGGGCCCATTCTGGCTGATATCTTCCTGGTAACATAAGAAGGTAAAGTGTTGACAAATTATTGAAAATCGGTTCTCATTGCTCGGGTGAACTGAATTCCATTTCGCCTTCCACTTCCACTTCACAAGTACTGGTGATGAAACGTTTGCAAACAAATTGTTAAGCTCGGCGAACAGGTGAAATGGAAGAAAGTAAACAGGAGGAACTGAATATCTGTATCAAAAGCCAACATGGACTGACCAGTATATGCAATTCAGGAGTCTGCCCTGTGGGATGCGAACGTGAGTACTATTTCCCAGGATTCACTGACCCGCAAGTCCTGTGAGATGAACTGGATCGATGGACCCATACTTCGCTAAGCGGTGGTTATCCTCTTACACGCATTGACGAATACGACAATCAGGTCCAAATCCCCAACAGCTAAGAAGAAAAACGTCTACGTCAAAAGAGATAATGTGGTAACCTTATCTAGTCGTTTAACACATACTGTGGAAAGAACGTAGAATGCCGCTAGATCAATGATTCCCTAGGGAACATTTCGTTGTCTCACTCGCCCTAATCTGAATTGAGAGGAAGTTAGTGTTACCTCTAAATGTATCTATTCATTTCAATGCATCTGCGGTCAGAAGTACATCGGAAGGACGGAACGCCTATCAATTAGAATGCGCGAACATGTCCCAAAATACCTAGATCATCGCGGCAGGAAAATACTATCGAGTCCAATTGCACGGTCACCATGTGGACGCATTGAAAGTGTTTTTAATCATTACATGACCTCGAAGTTCACGGACCTTGCGATTTTTAGAATCGATGCTTATTTAATGCTGGAAACATCAATTGTGTCGAAAAATCCTTCGTGACGCAACTGTTGCTGCCGCGGCAGTAATTACCACACGCGTGAGCCGTATCGTGTGATATTTCATTCGTTCCCTCTCCTTCCATCACATTCACATTCAAATCACAAAAGAAGCCCATTGTTGTAATCAGAACACAGATCGTAAACGAACATGTGTTTTCGGTGAGTTCCTTTTCAAATCAATACAATCACATTTGTGTAAGAAAATAGCGCGAGGGGTGGGGTAGGGACACGTTTTTTTCCAGTTCCCTTGTTTAGATAAGAACTGGTAACGTAAGCGTTGTTAAATGATTTGGGTCATCACAACGCTTATGCGTGATGTTGTCCGCTTTGGGCCGGGCGAGCTCAAATGCTGAACCCGTGTTTTTTGAGCACTCAAATCTGGCTTCACCAACGAATGACAATTGCCTTGGCTGTTGTTAGCGTTTTAAGTCGAACAGCCTTGAATTTGTGTTGTGAGACGCGTCCCACCACATTGTTTGAAATAGTTCACCTCTACATCTAATTTTCTAATCTAATTTTACCTTAACTGATAACCAAACCCAAATCACGCGAATCACTTGTCCACAACCTTTTTCAAATGACTCGTTTCAGTTCCGATATTTTTGTTTGACATAATCGTGTGCGTTTACTGCTGAATGAGAGTATGCGAAGTCGATGACCAATCCTACCCGGATTATGTCATCTTGCGTCAGTGGAATTATAAAATATAATTTGGTAAATCGAAGAAATTTCTTCAGGTATCTGTTATCTGTATACATAAAAACAATTCAGCAATTAAAGTGTGTTTAGAATCAGCTTACAATTTTAATGTCTTATTCGAAACCTCCGGATAACAATTCAGTTATCAGTTATTCCATATTCTATCGTGGATAAAATTCACTAACTGCTTCGGTTTTTATACGCATTTAGATCATGGTAAAGTAGTTTGAGGAATGTTTTTGGTGCCGCGTTAATGAATGTGGTCCTATGGATGCACCACAGTCTCATATCCACCTTACTATGACTTTTGATACCGCATTCAACTACTCGTAAGTAGTTTCTCGAAGACAAACAGTAAAGTTGCTGCGTTTGCTTAAATTTTCTAGCATGTTATAGTTAGTTGGTGTTAGGAGGGTCCACTTTGTTGCCCAACAGATTGGTCCTTTGTGGCGTACAATTCTTGTGGCTTGTGAGTTCGTTTGATATTGCATCTAGATTGTAGAATCGGATCTACCAAAGAATTATGCAATTGGTTCATTCGAAAGGTCCAGTAATTTATATTTCTGGTAAATTTACGCTCATATGATAAATATGATAATATGAAAAGTCAGTTATCCCCATCAGCAGTTCTGGTTCACTCTCGACGTATTCAAGGTGTTTGATATGATAGGCTCCTCGCGAAACTTCCAACTTTGGATTCTCCTCGTGTTTCGTCTCTTGGATACGGAACATCCTTTGTTAGTGTCCAATCTCGATCCGTGTTGATGGAGTCATTTTGAGAACAATTTCAGCCAACTCCGGTGTCCCGCAAGGTTTTGTTCCACTCGTTCTTATCCTCATTGATGACCATCAATTCCAAACTCTTAATCCTCTTCATGCTTTTACTAATTATTCCACCCTAGACTGTTCTCTTTCTTACAACTCTTCATGTGCATTCCCTATCCTCATCACCCACAATCACTTGTCTGTGTTGTGCTTCACTTCACTCAAACCTGAGTGCCCTTGTTGCTTGCGGCACTGAAAATCGTGTCGCAAAATCCCTTTGTATGCTTTTTCACTTCGTTCTACATGTTCTGCAATTTTACATGACCTGCAACTTTCTCATTTTTTATTTAGATTCCTCTATATTGCTAACTTGCATCGCTCGCGGCCCAAAATATTTCCTACTTTGCCGCACTAAGCATTTCTCAGCCTTTTGTGAACCTATTTTTCTTGAAAACGACCATCTATGTCCTACAGTAGGCATAGTAGCCACGTCTGGGCGGGTTCTCCCATTTTGTACTTTTGAATCGTATTTAGCATACTTTCCATCCGCTTTTCCAACCCAGATAGATCGTCCTCCATCCTTTCCTACCGCAGTTACTCTGCTTATCTGATTGATTCGGTCCCTCCCATGTTGATTCGTTCACGAGGCCCGATCTAACGCGTTTAGTCACGCGTACCTGTAGACTCAAATCTATAGAACGGTGGCGTTCAGATCTTGTTTTTCTTCAATGACCACAGGATTGTGCAACCCTCTCCCCTGATCAACTTGCCTCCCTTTTATTCCTTTTCTGTATTTGAGCGCAGATTCAGCAATTTGTGTTTCCCATTACTGTTCCCTCATTCACACTGTACAGTAGTCTTAATGATTAAGGGTTTTAACTTTGTATTGCAAATCATGCTTTTCATGGTATAAAAAGGCGTTTGTTCAGTTTCAGTTTGTACAAGAGTCACTCGTGCGCTGGTTTTTATTCTTATCCTTTGCCTCCCCGATTGGTAACGCAAAGAAGAAGTAAAATGGAACAGCGAGCTGACATGTGGAACAAAGGTGGACACAGCTGATGGACAAACTAGATGCACGGATGGGAGCGCTATTTTGTATGACCTGAAGCATCAAACGAAAGCAAATCGCTATTCTGATATCTGTGTCTTAGGTTGAAGGATGAGGTCAATTTTGAAGCCCACACTTAGTGTCTGATTTCGCTCAGTTTGACAATGGTGCTCGCAAGTAGTCTGTTCTGGTCAAGTTTTTCGTGGGTGCATTTCCCAAAGTATAAATGAGATTTCGGTACACCTATAAATACGTAACGCGGATCTATGTAGTGCATGCTAGTTTCCTACTGTTTGATCTCTTTTTATTGGACTCTCTCTCTCTTACCTGGCACACAATCTATCCTCAGATAAGTATGAAATATAATATAACAATAATCTCTCTCTTTTGCCTTTACCTTGTCTCATTCAGACCAATGGATTGTTGTGCGGGGCCGCTTCCTTACTTCGGCACATACCTCCCACATTTCCATTCGGTGGACTGATCTATCTTCGATCTCAAACTGAAAAGAATCACCCTCTCATCCCTTTCGCGTTTGTCGCCTGTAAACCTTCCTCATCTTTGTGTAGTCACAGCTGGCTGGCCGTTCTAACTATGCACATCCGTTTGCCTGGTTCACACCGGTTCCGTCCGCTGACAGCGTTGGATACGTACAACGGAATTCTACATGAAATGGAATCCAGGAAGCTATCCAGTCAGTACGAACTACCGCATGGCATTCATCCTTTCCACGGATTTACTTCTCTACCCAATCCGTTAACTTCAGATGTCAAATACTGTACCCCTTTACGCGACCCGGCCGTATTGTCCCTTGTAAATAGTGCACCCCTTGGTCACTGCGATATTTCCCGCCAATGTGATCCCTCTGGTGAATGCTCTGTGGATACTTATTTTCGGTAGATAAAATTCGATCATGCACTTATGATATGTCGCTTCTTGATTTCAACCTAGCGCATGCTTTCGTCTTCACATTTATTTGTTACTTGGTTACTGTCTATTGATCAGTGTGTATTTTTATGAGACAAAGTGATTTACTGGAAAAGAGATAAAACCGTATAGTTAAAGATGGCGGAAAGGTATTTGGCAGACATTCAGATGAGAAGCAGTTTCTTGATCCTGCCTTTGAAAACAGTTAGATTATAAATGATTGGTAATACGAAATTTTGAAGTGTATTTCACCATTCCGCAGTCCTGGGAAAAAGAGAAGATTGGAATATATTAGTCCGAACGAAATGAACCAGAAAAGAACAGGAGAAGGGAATCGCCGAGGATAAGGTATAGGGAAAAAATGTTGCTGTCAGAATAGGAGATTACGAATAAGTGGAATAACAATTCTATTTTGGGGGGGGGTGTTTCACCGTCCACTTTTTGAATTTTTTGTTTGTGGTTTTTACGGGGCACGGGATTTTGACAGACAGACCGTACAGCAATCGCTCCACTAACTTCTATTCCGGGCCATATCTCCCAGCATCGCTAGCCAACGACAATCCTCATCCCTTGGTCCCCAACCTGGAAGGTGGGCTGCACCAACCGAAGCCAAAGCTGAAGCCAGCTTCTTCACGCCTCTAGCCCATGTCATGGTCTGACCGCCGCGTCGCTTCTTCCAGCCTTGCCCGGCACGTGCAAAGAGAGCACGGAAAGGTAGTCGATGGGCAGGCATACGCAATACGTGACCAAGCCATCGGAGGCGTTGTAGAGCGATTACTTCTGTTAGAGAACGACTATCCGCACCCAACACACGACGATGGACCTCGTCATTGCTCACCTGGTGTTCCCACCAGACACGAGCAATGCTTCGGAGACATCGGTGGTCAAATACAGAAAGTCGATTAGCGTCCTCCGCTCGGAGGGGCCAGGTCTCGCGACTGTAAAGCAGAACATTATGAACTGCAGCGATGTACACCCTTCCCTTAAGGGACAGTCGGATGTCTTAGCGGCACCACAGGTGTCGTAGGTTAGCGAAAGCTACTCTAGCTTTCTCTATTCGTGATGTGATCTTGTCCCCAACACCACCACCAGCTGCAATCAAGCTCCCGAGGTACTTAAAGTTTTCAACTACTTCTAGCTGATCACCACAGAGGGTGAATGCAGACACAGGCTCCTGCCAGTCTTGAACCAGAACTTCGCACTTGGAAGGTGCAAAGCACATACCATACCGGGATACCTCGATCGCCAAGCGGTTCAAAGCGTCTTGGATTACCTGTGTGTTGTCACCTAGCAAGGCGATGTCATCGGCATACTCCAAGTTAAGAACTCTATTCCCTGGGAGGAGTTCGACTCCACCGTTTGCTAGACCGAACAAAGTATATATATATATATATATTTACCACCGGCTTGAAAACAAGCATGGTGCCAACGCAACAACAATGACAGTGAAGGGGATAGGTGGATTAGGATACAGAACATGGAGAAAAGTGAGTGAGACAGTTAAACATGGAAAATACAAGATAACAGAATTTTTTTTTTGTGTGTTTCACCGTACACCTTTTGCAATTTTTTTGTTGTTTGATGTTTCGTTTTTCTTAATGGGCACGGGATTTCGATAGACAGATCGTACAGCATTCGCACCACTGACTTCTATTCTGCGCCATATCTCTCAGCGTCTCTAACCATAGACAATCCTCATCCCTTGGGCCCCAACCTGGAAGGCGGGCTGCACCAACCGAAGCCAAAGCTGAAGCCAGCTTCTTCATGCCTCTAGCCCATGTCATGGTCTGACCGCCGCGCCGCTTCTTCCAGCCTTGCCCGGCACGTGCAAAGAGAGCACGGAAAGGTAGTCGATGGGCAGGCATGCGCAATACGTGACCCAGCCATCGGAGGCGGTGTA